TTTCCAGAATCTGTTAAGCCGATAAAGATGCTGGCAGCTTGAAACTTGACAAAGACCGCACCTTTGGCAGTCTAAACATCCGCAGATGCAGCCGAAGCACCATAAATCTGTGCTGAAGGCATGGAACCATCAGGCAAGGAAGCGAGGAAGGATCAGCAGGAGGTCGCGATACAAAAAAGGACCCCAAGGATCCGAAGCCCAAAGCCCCGGCGCTCGGTCGCGCAGCCGAGCAAAGGCCTCAGGGAGCAGCTGGACAAGGAACGGCTGGAGGCGCTGTAATACAGCTGTGTACATATCATATATATATATATATACAGACATACCCACACATGTACACATATATGTGTATATACAAATAAATATATACAAATATATATATATATATATATATATATATACCCACATTTATTTGTATATATCGGCGCTTTCACGCAGCAGTGCTCCCGTCAGGCCATCGAGACAAAGACCGCTTTACAATCACGCCTCGCGCAGTGGGTGGACAGCCCAGTCATGCCATTGCGAGGAGGTTCAGAAGGGCCTAGTAGCCTGTGACACTGTCCAGTCAGTCAGGATGTGGTATGGTCATATCATGTGGGAGGCATCGAGCTGTTCGCATCGAAATGTGTGCAAGAGCGAAGTGATGTTCAATGCTGCATAGTCTGCAATCTATAAACATGTACCTAAGGCCTACCGGAGTCCAGACTGAGCTTTTGAAATCGGGCAGGCAACCCCACGCCTTTCATACCTGGTGAGCCCACCGGAGACGAACTTGAAACACAAAGACCTACTCTTGAACTAGCTTACGATCAGAACCAGCGCCCATCGGCTTCACAAGCCACGATACGATACGATACGAATCAGCAGCCGAGATGGCAGGCCAAGGTAGGAAAGCCCGTACTTCCTAGGCTTGGACTAGCATTCGTGAGCAGCCTTGAATTTCCCGGTGCCGATGCCTATTTGTGAGCGTTGAGAGTTTCGAGGTTCTGGGTTTCGAGTGCGAGGTCTTAGATGGTTCCGGGCTGGACGCTTTTTAGGTTCCAAAGTTCGAAGCTTGGAAGAAGGAAGCCTTGGCTGCAAATCCTCTTCGCCTGGACACCTGCTGTCGAGGTTCCATTCGACTGGACTTGCCATGACCTCTGGTGCGGGACCCAAGCAAACTGGGGGCCCACGTGTTCTTCATGCGACGGGGCAATTCAGACTTAGTGCTCAGGAGCTCTGGGCTTGGGGTAACACGCGACGATGGAACTCAATTAAAAAGTGAGCACAAGTTCACGCCTGTGCAAGACACTGGAATCCCTGTTCTGATGTATGCAAAACGCACCACCTTCCTCATGCCCTCCTTGCGGTATTTTGTTCACTTTTGCATGGCTTGCGAGGAAGACCTGGCATTTTCGCTAGCAACGGCTTCCGAGCTGTGAAAGTCCCGGTAATTCCGACACAAACGGTTCAGCAGTTCAGCATCCTGACAACGGCATAACATGCACAATATGCTGGTAACCACAAGGAATCGTTAGCAGCTGTACACATAACCCCCTGAGGGTTTTCGACTGACCAGACTGGGTACAGGAATTGGATACATGGATCTGCCTCAGGACCGGCTTCGGGCTGGGATCCCAGCAGGGGCGTCTGGCGCGGCAAAGAGAGGAGGCCGCGCACTGTACTTATGTGTGCGTGCATGCATGAATATGATGTATGTTTACCCGCAGATTATACATCTAAATTATACTATACATACTTACTGAGCCATCTATCTACCTATCTCTCTACCGGTCTGGGCATCAACTTACATGTATTTACCCCTGCCCATCCCCACGGCCATGTGGTGCAAGACAGTATGCTGTAGCCCTGCCCTACGAATTCCCGTGAATGAGAACACGATGCAGAAAAACAAGAACGGCTGTCGCAAGGTAGCATCACAAAATGTTTGACGGCCTAGAGTCTGACACCATGCTGGCTGCTGTGCAAAACGTCGTGCAGAGTAGTGCATGGAATTGAAATGAAAGCAAAAACAGGGATCGTGCTGCATTCTGTCACTGGTGTGTTTGTAAGAGTAATTTATAGGCTACCGTTTTCTGTCACTGGTGTGTTTGTAAGAGTAATTTATAGGCTACCGTTGGTTGCATGCATGTACATGCTGTGGCACACCCAAAATCAGGTTGCATCAAATGCAAACATCGCACAGTCTCAAAAGTCCGCCGCAATAGATGAGGAATGGATTTGCCAGCACGCCACATTCATTTAACATCCCGGTAGTTACACGCACTATACTCCAAAGCATAGCACATGCTACATGACAAGGGTGGGTATGCTGTGCACAATGGTTAGAACAGTTTGCAAAAGCCAGCGGAATACAATGCAGCACACTGCAGTTTAATGAAACGCCATGCAACAACAGGCAATACGAAGTTGCACCGCAGGGAAACCGAGCAGAGTCAGCTTGTCCAACTTAAGAAGGACACGTACAGATGCCAGCTTGAGCGATGGAATGAAACCTGGAGTTAAGAGCGATGCACCCAAACCCACCAACAATAGTGCTGCTGCCGCTGCTGCGAGTGCTGCTGCTACTGCTACTGCTACTGCTACTGCTACTACTACTACTACTACTACTACTACTACTACTACTACTCCTACTCCTTTTTCTGCCACTGCCACGACCACTACCACTTCCACTTCCACGAGGACGACTATTACCACTATTCTAGTAATCTAGTACTAGCATTGCGGTATCAGCAGCTGCAGCGGCAGCACTCACTACCAGTACCAGTACTACCAGCCTGAACAATGATAGGATTACGGCTGCTGTCGCTTCAGAACAGCTTGAAGAGTACCTTTGAACAATAACACTAGTGATATTGAAGTGCAAAGTCAATATGGCTTACTTCTTCGTTGATGTTGATGTTGTTATTTTTTCTGCTGCACTCCTGAATTGTCGTTGTTTGCTTTGTTCTCGTGGGTCAGGCTTTGACGGAGCTCTCGTCAGCAGTCAGGGAGGTGGGGACATGGCGTTCCTCAATCATGCCTAGGCAGAGACTCAATGCATGTGGATGCCCGTGTGCTGCGTGTTGCTTGGTCCTGAGAGCAGGAACGCTAAAGTGTCCGAGATGAACTGTCCTCTTCTTGTTGGATCTGTTTCCGACCTCGAAGCCGCAGAGGCCTGCCAGCAAAGCTCCGGAGCTTTACAGAAGTGGCCATCTGCCGTACTCGCAGGCTGGGATGCAATGTGTTAGAGCCGTGGCAGCGCCGAGTTGAGATTGGAGATACCAGGTGGCGATGAGGAACCTGTGTGGACCTTAGCTTGTGTTGTGCAGTGGCACAAACAGCATAGTTGCTGCTAATTCGTAAGACGTTTTGCACCGAACTCGTGCGATTTCGGTGATACCCGTTGAATAGGAGATGTTGTGGCATGCTTGTTGCCTCCCCAGTCAGACAAAGGCGTCGCGACTGCGCATCCGCAGCAAGGTGGTGAAGGGCCAAGAATGCTGCCTGAACTGGCATCCAGAAATTCTTAATGCGCACCTCAGCGATTGGTCCAGTGAGGCCGAATTTGCACAGCAGCTGTCGCAGTCCGTCCTTGAGGCCCGGCCCGTGTCATACTTGAACTTGCCAAGGCAGGCCTCGAAGCTCCGGCCCAGCTCTTCGAAACTGGGCCAAGCCTATGCCGAAGTGTCAACAAATCAAAATTTCCCTGGTATGTTTGGGATTCCAACGATGTCGCGTCGGCTGCTTCGGTGTGTGTAATCCCTTCCACCATTTATTGAACACCCGCACTAATAACAAAAAACACTTTGTGAAAACACACCTGACATCATCCCAGCCTCTTTAAAACCTAATCTGCACTAGGGGAGTGGAGGAGCAAGAGCAGGAGCAAGAACTAGAGCAGGGGAAGAGCCAGAGCCGGAGCAAGACAATAGCAAGAGCAGGAGCAGGTGCAAAAGTTACAGTAGGGATAAACAGTCCACAAATAAAAAACACTTTCAGAGTTTTGTTGGGGGTGTGGGGCCCTCCTATTTCATGTTAGGAGGAAGGGGTTAGACATATCAACTCCCCCACTGACAATTCGACACTGACAAACACCTTGCATCCTCAAGATGCAATCAACACATCTGCCGAAATGCCGCCAATCGACAAGACGTGATTCAAAGTGGTGCAAGTCAGGTACAACTGTGACAGCAGGCATTGCCTCATGCATGCATGCATGCACGCACACACACACACACACACACACATACAGCTGCATATATACCCGCACATATGACCACCACCCTTGGGAGGCCGCCCCAGCCTTGGCCGATTTGCTTCGGCCCAAGATGCCCCCAGGTCTCAGCGTAAAGGAGGGTTGCAGGAGATTGTCTGGGTCAAAGGCCTTGGGCTTGAAGCGGGGCTTGGCAGAACCACGAGGCTGGCCAAGAGCGGCTTAGCGCTGACACCGTCCCAGAAGCAGGAGCTAAGAAGGCGAGCAGGGCTGTGCTGCAAAAGCGATGCTTGACTCGACAACAAGCTTCTTCTGCTTCTTCCCCACAACGTGTCGTGCATCCAACAAGCAACACCACTACCACAACTGTAACCAGCAACAACAATAGCAACACAAATAATGAGAATAACCCGCACAAGAACGAAACCAAGAACAACAAGATCAACAACGCAGGCTAGCTGTCTCTGGGAGTGACCACTCTCTGAGGCGGTCGGCAAGAACTTAGTAATTTAGTCGTAAGAACACCCATCGAACGCATGTAGAAATCACTGAGACTTGAAATCTATTGGAATCAAGATATCACCACCAGCAGTACTAGCAGATCAGAGGAAAATCCCAACACGATCGAACTTCCTGTATCTTACCTCCGAGCCCTTTGTCACGGATGATAAGGACCCTCGAGAGCATGTTTTCAGTAGATGCGTCCGTAAGTTGAGAGCACTCGAATTCCTTGCAAAACGATAAGCTAAGAGTAGAACAACAAACGATAGCGAAGATGTGCTACGTCCTACAGTTCCAAAATCATCCAAAGTCCTGCAAAACGATAAGAGTAAGCGAAAACGATAACCGAATCAAGGGTCAAGCAAGTGGGTGGGGGGTTTTCACGCACCCTCTTGTGTTATTTGCTCGTGGGAGGCAAACCCAGGAGCTGCTCCAAATCCACAGAAGGCCCGGGACCAAGTTCGAGACGCATCAGAAATTTCAACACAAGCGCTGGTTTCGGAGATTTGAGGTTGTGGAGTTTTGATCGTGAGGCAGACGCAGAGAATTTTGTGCAGGTGGGTGTTGTACCAGTCCCTGCTCCTGTTGCACGACTGGCCACACCCTCGGAGAAATGGGATCAGTTTGAGTTGAGGCCTTGGACAGTTCAAGCTCCTAGCCCACTGGGATCTCCTTGTCCAGAACCTCGGCTATGCAAAAACCGAGCCCCCGTGGTGCACTCTTCAGAAGTCCTACTTCGGCGCTTCGGTGGATTCGAAGTAAGTAAGACTGGTGCTCCCTGGACTCATAGATCAAATCCGGAACTTCCAGAAACAGAGTGATGAGGCAATCCACAACCGCTGCTCGGTCTTCACAGGAAGAGGCCACATGTGTCGATTTGGGCGACCACAAACTCGATGTTCTGCGATTCAGCGCACCATCCAGTTTCTTAAAGCATGTCGAGAGGTATTTCAGGAGTGAGAGAGACGTTGGGGATAGCTTCCTCGCCGCAGAATACATGTTTTGCAACCGATATGATTGTAAGAAGGAGGACGAGAGTGTGTGACACTGCTACAATTCGTACATCTGAGAGAGATGCGTGCATTTACCGCCTAGTCTGGAAGTCTAGCGCACGCATGCATGTATGCATACATGAACATCTACTAAGATTGTGCGTTTGGCTTAAGTTAAGATATAGATGTTACTAGGGGGTTAGGTAAGTTAGATAAAAAGTTAGCATAAGTTAAAGAAAGTTAACATAAGTTAGCAAAAGTGAACTTGTGGATTAAAAGATACAACGATGGGGTGGCGGGGTCGTGGGTGGTGGTAGCGGGTGGTGAGGCGGTGGCCATCGCCAGCCACCACCAACCACCCACCAACCACCACCCACCACCCACACCAAAATAATGCGGTTCACAAATCCATTCCCAGAAAAGCAGCTGATTGGGGGATCCTTATAGAAATTTTAGGTGCTGCACCAGCCACCACCCACGCCACCCACGCCACCCACGCCACCCACGCCACCCACGCCACCCACCACGCACCACCCACCCACCACCCCGCACCACCCACCACCCCACCACCCACCACCCCACCACCCATCACCCCACCACCCACCACCCACCATCCACCATCTAATAGGTGGTGGGGTGGTGGGGCGGTAGGGTGTGGTGGGTTGGGTGCGGTGGTAAAGTGTGGGGTGGGTGGGGGTGGGTGTCAGGGGGGGGGTGGGGTGCGGTGGTGGGGGGGTGGTGGGGTGGTGGGGTGGCGGGGTGGCGGGGTGGTGGGGTGGTGTGGGTGGGTGGTGGGTGGTGAGGTGGTGGGGTGGTGTGGTGGTGGTGGTGAATCAGGGGGTGGAGTGCCAGCCAGCTCCAATTCTGAGGCCTGGAAGTATGAACTTTTTATGAACTTTTCAGGCCTGGAAATATGAACTTTTTATGAACTTTTCAGGCCTGGAAATATGAACTTTTTATGAACTTTTCAAGCCTCGAAATATGAACTTTTTATGAATTTTTCAGGCCTCGAAATATGAACTTTTTATGAATTTTCAGGCCTCGAAATATGAACTTTTCAGGCTTGGATTCATTGTAAATACCAATAAAACACTAAAAATATGAACTTTTTATGAACTTTTCGGGCCTCGAAATATGAACTTTTTATGAACTTTTCAGGCCTCGAAATATGAACTTTTTATGAACTTTTCAGGCCTGGAAATATGAACTTTTTCTGAACTTATCCGGCCTGGTTCCTGGCTTTATGAACTCGGGGGTGGTGCTGGCGGTGGTGGCGCGGGCGGTGGGGGTTGCTGATGGTGGTGTCGGTGGTGCTGGTGCTGCTGGTGCTGGTGGTGCTGGTGGTGCTGCTGTGGCGGTGGTGCTGGTGGTGGGGGCGGCGGCGGCGGTGGTGCTGGTGCTGGTGCTGGTGCTAGGTGCTGGTGCTAGTGCTGGTGGGTGCTGGTGCTGGTGCTGGCACTTCCGCTAGCGCTGGGGCTGGTGCTGGTGCTGGCGGTGAGGTTTCCCAAGCCGTACACCCCAAACCCAAGCCCCTAAACCCCTGAACTTTAAACATGCGCTAGTGGTGTTCCTAACATCCTAGACATGCTGTTGTTGTTGCTGTTAGTGGTGGTGCTGGTGCTGGTGGTGCTGGTGCTGTTGTTGTCGTGGTGGTTGCTGTTGTTGCTGCTGTTGTTGTTGTGGTGGTGGCGGCGGCGGTGGTGTTGGTGTTGGTGAAGGCTGTGGTGATAGTTTTTCTACACTCCACACCGTACCCTATACCCCCTAAACCCTATAACCCTGGTGGTGGTGCTGATGCTGGTGCTGGTGTTTGTGGTGGTGGGGGTCCTAAACACCTGAACCCCCTAAGCCCATAGCATCTGCTCTTATCTTTGTGGAGCACAGAAAAGAACAGCATCAGTGACAAACAACGAAAACCATTCAACACAAAGCCGACATAAAACAAAAAAAGTTAGAATAAGTTAACATAAGTTATCATAAGTTAGAAAAAGTTAGCTAAAAAGTTAACTTAAGTTAGTAACTTCTATTTCTTCCAACCAACCTTCTACTAACTTCCCCCCAAGTTAGTAGGGACTTACTACATGGATGGCAAAGATGTAAGGGGGTTACAGGGGGGTTATAAGGGGGTTACTAACATCTATATCTTAACTTAGGCCACACGCACAATCTTAGTATCCGATAAGACAACTAGCATGGTGGATTGTCGGATTCAGCATTTATACAACTTGTCCTGAGCTTGGGATGGTTCAGGGCTTAGCGCTGGGGGCAAGGCGTTGGCCCAAAGCTTCGTGGACTGCCTGTGGCGGCTGCACCGACCTTGGATCTGATTCATGGTGCGGCAGAACCTCCTGTACCAGGGACCCGGCTTTACGAGTTTGTACTGTAGCCCTTCTAGGGGAGGCCTGCACCCCTCAAGACCGCTCAGCAACTGTGATGCATAGCAAAGTAGCCTAAGGCATCGCTGTGTCCGGAGTCTTGTGGCGCGGCTCAGCAGCTGGGCTCATTCAATCTACCTTCCGCAATTTGTGCGATGTATTGCCCGGGCAGTGTTCCTGGAACTAGGAATTCTGCCCAATTGACTCCCACCAGTACCTCAGCCTTGAGTGAGGAGTGGCCTCACTGGTGCAACGCCCTCAGCCGACCATCCAGTGTCGGACATCTCACATCAGAGATTTCCATGAGGTTTCTTGGCGGTGTCTGCAGGCTCCAAGTTGCAAGTGTGCTGTCACTTCTTTCTACTTTCCCCAACACATGTGTGACTGCATGAATGCACGCTTTTCTTGTCTGAGCGATAGGTGCTAATGCTGTGCTGTGGTTGGCGAAAGAATCTGCAAAGAGGGCTTTATTCCGAAGTCGTTCTGTAAGTTCCGTCAGACAATGGGTGAGGTTGTTTGCATGCGTTTTCTGTTGCGCACACTTCGCGCGGGCGATGCCATTGCACCATTGCAGACCAGAAGCCAATAAGGCCGGGTCTCTCCACAGAGAGCAGTAGCAGCTGCCACTTCGCACTGGCACGGCGCTGCTTGAAAAAGAGCCCCGCGCCGGTGGAGAAGGAGGCTAGACTTAGACTGCTGAGATCGATTGAGCCGTAGCGAGCTCTAAGGCGGGTTTGGATCGTGGCGTTCGTCATTCAGCCGTCTCGTTGCGGTTCGATATCGGCTTCTGTTCGATTCCTTGCAGTTCGCATCGTTACGGCGTGGTTCGCACGGTTCGGTTCAGTTTGGGGCGGTCACACATGGTCCCACGATCCGGCTTCCGACGGCTTCCACACTGTTTCGGTGTGAGCACGGGCAGGCTGGCAAGGGGAGCTCTGCTGGTGCCGAGGCAGGACCAAGTTCTCCAGAAGCTTTGGAATTGCGCATCTTCCGAACTCGGCGATCACCATGAAGTGTCCCACCCGCCCACATGGCTGTACATCGGTGTCCCTTGGTTGCTGTGTTGAGCATGTAAGATGATCTTGAGCTCACGAGGCGGCCCTACGCCTCGGCTTGATGCAGCGAAGCCTCGGGGACGCCTCCGACTCATATGGGAGCTTCCTAAAATTAGGGTCCCCCATTTTCGGAAACTTCCATATTCGGCCTCTTGTGTGCTGTGCGCAAGCCCTCCTGCTGCTCCTGCTCCTGCTGCTGTTGCTACTGGTACTACTACATATTGTTACTCCGCGGCCTCAACCATGTTTAAGCTACAACACTACGACTTGAAGGCTACGAATGGGAATCCTCACAAGAAACGAAATGCCTCCGAATCTTGACTGTTGCCATGACGCAAGCGAGTCTCACACTTGTGGATGACCCACACTCACCTCGGGAGTTCTGGAAATAACACTCTACTCGCAGAAGATGCAGATAACGCTGGGAAGCCGGGATCCTACTTGTTCCTCCCCTGTGCGTGGGCAGTTGACAACGTTGTTTGAGCACATGGGGTCCTCCGTTGTTTGAGCTTCTGCTTGTTTTCGGTCACGTGGGTTTGAGCGCAGAATGTTGAGATGGGTGTTGGGCTCGGACATTGTGACACTACCCAGCTCTCAGCTGCAATAGTTGCCTTCGACCATTCGACGTCTGCGGGACCCCAGATGCCTGGTGTTAGGGCAAGCTTTCCCCTTTTCTCAATTCCTGCATTCTGCATCAAATTCTGGCGGGAATGCGTCCCCGCAGAGCCTGGAGTGAATTTGAATTGCACTTGTCATTTGTAGCCAAAGCCTCGATTGTCGCAGGACAGGCGCAGCAAGTGGGAATCCCTCAGTATGCATTTTCGTTCCGTCTCCAATCAAGACTGGAAAAGTGATGCTCCCGGAAAACGGTGACATCCCAGGTCTGCCACTGCTGGAGGGCACTCAGCCGCTGTCTGTCTTCGTGGGTATTCCTGCGTGATTACAGGTTTTCGAAAGTCGCTTCAGAGATCGGTTAGTCAAGTCTTTAGGCAACAGCATGCGAATCCTCGGTTTGATTGCCCATAATTTCGGCGGACAGCAACATCACAAACTGGCGTCCACGCGTGTGCAATCATCTTCCTGATCTTGAGTCGGGTGCATCTTGAGCTGGCCTTTCAGTTGATGGTTACTTGCCAGGATGGCTTGTTCGACATGTCACGCTCCATACATTCACGGCCAGTCCACTCTGATTCCGTTGGACTCCTCCTCCTACCAGATGCATGCATGAGAAGCCGCATTCCTAGCCTTTGCGGTGCAAAAAGATTACCTTCCGCTATTTGGCTTCGCTGTATCACAGCTTTTCTGGAAGCTTTAGCAGCATCTGCTCAAGTGGCGGTGGGGGCCGTGCTGGACACAGAAGCTTGACTCTTTGCAACACTGGACCCCTGCCGACGGGGTTCGGCAACTAGTTGACTGACTGTAGGTCAGTTCTGAACCAAAGCATCCCACATCCCGTAAGCCTTAACCCTCAGCCCCTGACTCGAAGCCCAAGGCCCTACCTTTGCTTCAAAAGCCCCTCCGTGACATGACAGGCTGCAGCACGCGGCGGGACTTCCGTGGCTGAGCTGTGCTAGTCAGATTCAGGGGTGAATACTTACATCAGTTGCCGCCACTTCCCCAAAGCTGCAAGCTCCGTTCTCAGTTTGTTTTGTTTCTGTTTCTGGTGCACCCTAAACCTTCATTCACCCAAACCCACACCCTCAAGACCTATAAACCCTAAACCGTATGACTTCGGTCGATGGAGTCTGGACGCATTGAGGCGTCAGCAGCTGGCAGCGTCTCGCAGGCTCCGCACAGGGTATTGGTGGGACACAGAGCTTTGCTTATCGGTGCTGGGGTGGCATTCGGATGGCGACGACGATAAAGAAAGCAAGGATGTTGATGTAACTGGTGACGAGTATAATGAATGAAGCAGCGATCCTGATAACAGTTTTGCCAAAACTGACGATCGCAACGGTGAGTATAGTGCCTGAGATGATGGTGTTAGCATTGATGGTGATTAGGCTGCTGCTGTTGTGTTACTCGTCGCCGTCGTTGCCCGTCACGACGTGACACTTTGAGGAAGTTAGCATCAGTAAATAGCATCCGAGTGGTGGTGGTAGTGGTGGCTGTTGTTCCGTCGTACTGTGTATAGCGGTAGCTGCAGGGGAGAAACAGGTATGGCAGCCAGGGTTTCTTATTTCACCAGGACAGGACATTGTGACATCATGGCACGTGTTCACACGATCCTGCAGGAGAGCGGCGGAACAGTGGCCATGGCCTCATTATTGTAGCCTCGAGCTGGAAGGGTTGGTACTGGTCAACCCGAAGTGTTGCAGACTGAGCATGCCCCACAGCCTTACTTACCGAAGCATGTGATGACGCCCCAAACCCTGGCCCACGCAGTGAAATACCTCTTCTGGTCGAAGAGGTGGAGCTCCTCGGATATATCCACGGACTCTGTGTTGGGCTCAGAGGGCCTCCACTCTTCAGGCATGGCCACAGCAAACGACTAAGCTTTCACCGCAGGTCCTTGTTGTTCATGCAGGTTTTTTGCTTTGTCGATCTGGGCTGCTTCGAGGCGGTTGCCTCACTGAGCGCCTGATGCCAATCATGGAGCGGCTGTCAATGCAGGTGCGATTCTCGACCAGCGTTTGCTGGACAGCTTTGTCTTGTCAATCGATGTGAGATGTCAGTGACAGCAAGACATCAGTAGACTTCATACGAATGTGCGGCAATCATCTCGTCTTTCACTCAGACTGTGAGATGTGCTCCCACCACTTCAGGGCAAGCCGTCGTCAAGAGCCTTTGCATATCGGGATTCAGTTCCTCTGAAAGGTGAGCAGCGCACAGGGAGAGCCTATGTTGTTCCTGCGGCCGTGTTGAGCTCAGCTATGTCTATATCTATCTGTCGACCATGGTAAACATAAGTATGTACATATACACACACACACACCTCAGGAAAGAGGTTCGTAATAACAGTTGGTAGAGTGCGACATAGCAAGCTTCAGAACTGGACTGGAGCCACTTTGTGTTCGACGTGCTTTCATACCTATTTGAGTCAAAGGCCTGTTGCGCGAATCCCAGAATCTGGGATTCGCATGGAGAGTTCACACTTGCGCGACTCTGATTGCAAAGCCATCTAGTGCTTGTCAGCTGGATCCATGACACCCTGGAAGCGCTTTTTTTTCGCTGCAAATTGCCCGCATGCTTCTGAAGCTTGACCCTGACCTACAGCCCCTTAGCGTTCCTTAGCCCCCAACCCTCAAAATCCTTGCCGCCCACGCAACTTCCCATGACTTCAGTAGTTCGTCGCCATGTCGGGCTGACATGTGGCCGGGCAGGTTCGGACCAAGTGACTAACATTGAGTAATTCGATTCTTCCGCTAGCTTGCTGATGCTGCCTGATCGATCTTGTAAGTGGTTGCGCTCCAAACGGCTTGCAAGGTCAAAAGGCTCCGAAAACACGCTCTCTCTCTCTCTCTGTGTCTCCCTGTCTCTCCCCTCTCTCCCTCACTCTTTGTCTTCTTTCTCTCCCCGTATCCCCCCTCCATCCGCTATCTGACACAGATGCAAAGATACATTGCGTGCATGTCATGAACGGCCGCATGATGCACATACACATCGGCAATTGTAGTTTTAACAACGATCAAGTTAAATCTAGCCAACTGAATGTCGACTCTGGACTGTCATCTAGTCGACTTGGTTTGTTCGCCTGCGTATTCTAGAAATGCATAATCAAATCACGAATGGACAAATGTGTATAAGCACATACAAAGGTGTGTGTGTGTGTGTGTGACAGAGTATGTAATGTGCATAATTACAGATATGTATGTATGTGTGATACGTACATATTTATGTACGCATGTATACGCTCTTATACATATACATCGTTATGTCAATGTGTATGTGTGTATATGTATGTATGTGTGTATGAATGTATGTATATATGTATGTATGTGTACGCATGTCTTCATGTGTTGTGTGCAAGTGTAGGTGTATGTGTGTAGAAATAAAGGCGCATACACGTACCATGCAATGACAATCATGTTGCAGCTGGTGTCTAAGTCTCCTTTCACATCTTTGTTGAACAAGTCTTAGGAAGTTTCCTTCGCAGGTCTGGTGGCGACGAGCGCACTTTACAGGTGCCTCAAATAGTGGTTTGGAGAGCGGGACATTGGCTTTGGGACAGAGAGCTTTCGGATGGAAGTCCGGCCTTCGTTTTCGCGGAGAGCTTGAATGGACAATACTGGATACGTTTTCTATGGCCAGACCAACACGTGCCGCCAGCGCAACCTCGACCACACCCAGAGAATACTACAGTACTGCGTAAAAGCCTCATTGATGGACACGGTGCTTGTCCAGAGCACACGCCACAGCACGCACAAACAAGCAAACAAACGAGAAAACTTGTGAGTGTGTTGATCGACGAAGGACGAACTAATCAGTCGACAACCATATCTGATTTTTCCTTTGCTCCATCCCACAGGCCCCCGGCCACCCTGTCACGAGCCTTTGGAGCATCTGGCTGGGCCTCACCAGGCCATGGTATGTGCCTCGTCTTGAGAGACTGCACGTTGAGTTGGAGAGTGTCTTTTCAGAGGGATCGTCCACGCATGGCCCTGTCCATCATGCGCGATTGCGGAGGGGTAATCAGGTCAGGTAATCCATCAGACCCTTGGATCGAAAGCTTCTTCCGATGGAAGCAGTCGAGCTTGGCAACTCGCATTCAGACTGCCGAGGTACGGAGAACCTGGTCCAGATCCTACGAGTGGACGGCGGAAGATGCACGATTGCATCAGAGCTTGTCCGTCCAGCTTACACCGTCAAGCAAGTTCAGTCTTTGAGCCAGCTGCCAGCTGATACCCTCACTCTTGGGCCGGGTGAGGGGTTGTGTCCTCGGCCCACATGGGCCCTGTGAGCCAGCACAGAATGAGGTGGCACGCCATGGACGGGGACTACAACAAGGAGAAGGAATACCCACCGCTCGGAGCACACAACACGAAAGAGTACGACGAGCAGTATGGGCGCTGGTGGTTTGAGAGAAAGGACACTGAAAAACTCAAAGCCAAGCAAGATTCCGACAGAGCGGGCCCCTCACTCAGACTTGGGAAAAGTTATTGATTGGTGCTGTCAGGAGGAGTGGCGTCCGAAGCTGTACACCACCATCGGAAGCCACGCTCGCAGCCCCAAACTCAAGCGGACGATCCTCAGGCAGGTGACAGACGGCACTCTGGCACGGGCACACACATCCTTCAAATTCAGAACGTCTTCTAATCCCTGAAGGAAGTGCTACAACACTCCCAACTTTCGCGCACTAAAGATGGACGTGTATCGCAGCTTAGCTGCAGGGGCCGAGCGCATTGTCTGTGTTCTTCGCCACAGAGATTTGGCATAATGCCGAACGACCGACAGGGCATTTTTGGTTGGAGTCCACCCTAAAGTTCTGTACTTTCTGTCGACATCCCAAGGGCAGCTTGTCAGTTCCCTCGCACCGAGCCCGGTGTCCGTAAGGCAAGCGATGGCCCAAAACCCGCGGACTGAACTTCCGCTTCTTCGCAGAGTTCTGCCAGAAGGACAGGATGGTCCTAATCGCCGCCACGTATGAGGGTTTCAGGTCCACAATTCAGGATTTGTGGGTCTTGGGCCAAGGCTAAGGCGGATGGATACGGGCCTACAAGTCGTACTGGCAGTCCTACTACCACCACGACGATGACGACAACCACCACTACCACCACCGCTACTAATAGAGTACTTATTTTCCTCTTCCGCTGCCACCGGCACCACGACGACTACCGCCGCCACCACCACCACCACCACCACTACTGCTACGACGACGACTACGGCTACGGCTACCATTGCTAGTACTGGTGCTAGTACTATAGTGCTAGTGCTAGTACTAGTGCTGCTCATGTTTTTTTACTAATCTAATACTGTACTGCTGCTGCTGGTGCTGCTACGACGACGACTATATACTGCTGCTGCTGTGATGAGGACGACGACGGCACCGCGACCGGTTCCTCAGCCTATGCAAAGCAGCGCTTCTGTTGCTCCCACTACCTGTGAGGAGTTCAAGAAGCGCACTCTGCTGGAGACGGCTCACACCTTGCCTTTGCTCCTGGACTCCATAGTTCGCCACAGAAAATCAGCCGTCGTGCTAGAATTACATGCAGCCAGCCTGCCAAGATTTCAAAATCCAACCTTTCCAGTCCTACAGGTTCGGCGCCGGCTGCAAGTTCTGGCGGGCACCGGACGCCGAGCACCCGGACCTTTTGGATTCGGTTGCCGGGGATGCATACACCTCTGTGAATTCGGGTCTTCCCTGCAAACATCTTGTTAGAGATGTAGGTCGTCAAGACAGCTTGTTCAGCCGCCAGCCGCCTAGTGACCTGAAGGACACCAAAGGGCAGTACTTTGTGGCAGAGTCCGTGGAGTACCGTTTGAGGCCTATCCGAGGCCGGGCAGGGCCTTTGCCTTCAATGGTGAAACAGATGTTCTTTGCAGGAACTTCGGGCCCCTGCAAGTACCCAAAGAGCATCTAATTCCTGGGCCAGCAAATGTGAGCAGCATCAGCCACGAATCATCGATCCAGGGTGGGAAGGCTCAGGTTGCTCGGATGCTTGTTCGCGTATTGGTGTACGTTCTGTGTGCTAATTGCCAACTTCTGTTACTAAAGACGGTGATGCTGGCCCGAGTCAGCACCCTTCTGAGTTGCAAAAACACTGCCACGGGACTACTGAATTTGCAGTGCTTTTGGCGATGGTGCCACCTGGAAGAATCCGTGGGCCGGCCGTTGAATTTCTGAAGCAGAGCAGACCCTAGTATCCCATGGTCGGCACTGCTCTTAACGGAGGCGCTCCTCACAGGCTCTAGGTCTAGCTTCGGGTTGAAGGGTCCCCTTGAAGCATTTTAACCCACACTCATCATGGACTATATACAGCCAGAGCTTTCCGCATGCTACTTGGAGAGGACGCAAAGTAAAGAAATATGGCGGCATATAGAGCGGAGGAAGCGGTAGTTTGTTTGGCGCACGAGCTGTTGATCAAGGACGAGCTTCTCAAGAAGCACTTTGCGAGCTTTAGAAAGACTAAGTTAGCAATATGCAGGGACGATAGTTCACTTGGGAAATGCCTTTATACCTTTGTGCAAAAGACATACTATCGACACTGTACTTGAGTAGTACCAGTACCAGCAGACCAGCCGGCGTGGAGGTGGTGATGTATGGGAAGTAGTGGAACAGTTACTGTTGCCTGCTGTAGCATGATTGCCCAAAGTGGAAGAAACCGCTCTGCATGCGGCTTTGGAAGGTGACATTCGAGGCACGCAGTATGCTTACGGCCGACCAATTCGGGATGGCATCGCACCCATTGCAAAGTCGCTCGGGCCGGGCCCTGACTTCAAAGAAGGGTAAAGCCATGCTCACGGCTTGTCCTTCCATGCCAGACTCTCCGTTTTCGTCGCAATTTTGCACAGTTGCGCCAAGGTCTTGGCGATACGAGTTTCCCGCAAACGCGCACCCTGCCGTCTACAGACCGCCCTTTCCACCGATGAAGGGCAGCAAAGAAGACTCCGGGGACGCTGAGGCCGACGAATGAGTGCTTCGGATGGCTGCAGATGATTGGCTCTAGCATAGGTAGAGCCAAGAGCGGCTGCGACAAAAATCTGAGCGACTCGTGGTTTCTCACTGACAATCAGGATGCACTCCTCGACAACTACCCCTTGACCTTGCACTGCAGCTCGAAAAGCTACAGCCAACTCTTCGAGTGCTTGTGAGTCGCTCACTGGGCTCAAGCGATGGCACCTGTATATCACAGGAGTTGAATGTTCAGATAAAGGAAGACAATCTTTGGTAGTTCTTGGCACTGCTTTGCGTGCAAAT